AATTTTGGAATTTGGAGATTTGGGTACTAGGGAATTTTGGAATTTGAAGATTTGGGATCTAGAGAATTTCAGGGAATCTCAGAGATATGGTATCTAGTGACATAGTAATTCAGAACCATGGATACCTAGGACCAAACGAATCTAGGGACACGCAGAACTTTCCACTATGTGAAAATTCCTAATTCCAAATAAATTAGTATGAGTGAGATTTCAAAGTGTCTCTAATAAAGAATATAATAAAATTATTCGCTAACAAAAATTGCACACACAACCTTTAATTAAATCCCATTTTCAACAAAAAGAGAAAGATTTTTAATTAAAAAATACAAATTTCACCAGCCCTATTGAAAATAAAATAACGATCACAATCTTTCGCGTAATATTACAATTCCACACACGCACATCGCAAATAGGTACGGAATTTGACAATTTCGTTAATTACCATACGTTCAATTTATCCTGTATCAAGCAGCAAAAGCGTTTCCAGTGTCACTTAATGAAACATAGTATATTCATTCGGAACCGTTCTAAAGGTACGAACAATTTTCGTGGCTGGCGCGAGATTCTGGACAGCCGGCACAGGCGTCCGGAAATTAAATCCCATATGTATCTTCTTGAACTTTTTACGAGGAAATAATTTTAAACCGTGGCAAAAATGCGCTCGCATAAATAACGGACTGACATTAGGGGACGAAGAAAATACGTGGTAATAATCGTCATCTCGAATACGCGAGTTTCGTAGAAACAAAATTACACGTTCATACATCTCTGCATCAAGCAGGGGTAATTATACACGCCTCGCATCTCAATGACTTTGAATATATATTGTTAACGTTGTGAATAATTTTCTCCGCGTATATAATCTCTTTCAGATGTACTTAGTTGAGGTTATGTTTAGTATTATGGTTTAAGATACAGCTTATGGTTCTTTGTATGAATGTTTGTGGATTTCAATATTTCCACATATGCTTTAAACCTTCATTTCTAAATCCACACATGCCTCATTCTTACCTCTAGGTTCTACATGTTTGATATTCTATGTATTCCTACATCCACGTATCCTTGACATTTATATCCCTAGTTCTTCATATTTGAGAACCTTCTATATTCCTAGAATCCCTAGCTTTAAGAGTCAGCACGTCTGTAGATGTCACATTCTCCAATTTGTCCACGTATCTATATCTTCACATCTCCAAATGCATATACTCTTTAAATTCTTCTTATTCCTAGCTCAATGTCCTGTTAGATCTTTATATCCATAGATTAACATCACATTAGCTACTCAAATCCTTAGATCAATATATAACTGCATCCCCATGTGCTTAAATCAACATCTTTTTACATCCACATATGTCCACATGTGAGGTCCCCGTGTCTCCACATTCTCATCTCTTTAAATCCTCATTAAATTTTCTATAACCTTAGGTCTAAATCCCAAGATTCCTGTCTGTAAACGCACACGCGAATTCCCAGATATTATTGAAACAGAGTAGCGATTAAAAACGCGTTGGAACAGTTGGACGCTACGAGAAGCACTTTTTGATCGTTTTACCCCGCACGAGTGCAGCCGGAGATTTGCGTTTATTCCTTTTACGGTACACAGCCGGCTATTAAATAATATTAATTACAACCGAAATCCAGGGAGATCTCGGAATTAATTTCCCGGTTGCAAGAAAGAGAAAGGGAAAAAAAGGAACCGCTTCGCACCGGGGAAATTATTAATTCAGCGAGAATTACGGGACCGAACGGGGCGAGAAAAAGAACGGGAACCGATACAAATTGTTCGTCGGACGTTTTAAAGTCTTTCTTCTGGTTCCTTGGTTAATTGTTCTTCCTTTTTTGACCGAGTAGAAAATTCGAGGTGCAGTTTCGGACGGTAAACGCTGGACGGAAAAGGGTGCGACCCATCCCCCCAATTACCTAAAATACAGCACCGCGACGGTAACGCATCCCCTGATATCTATAATTAACGCGGTGATCGCACGGTGCGCTCAGCGACGCGTGAATTCGGTATCACTTTCCAATTTACGCCTGTTACGCCGCCGAAGAACGAAGGCAGTCGTTACCAGCGATGATACGACCGTGTCATGGCTCGATGAACGCTCGCTAATTGAACATTTCGAATTAAAATCCGCGACAGTTGCCGATTCTCGTTATTATTAACCAAGGCTGACTGACTGCCGCCTGAATCGTCCCGCCATTTTACTCCTACCTCATTTTCATTAATAACTGATTAGCTGCCACGAGAAGCGCGTCATTGTTGCCAACGACGTACAAACTGAACTATTCAACTCCTAATTAATATTATTAGGAGGGATCATTTGGATGTACGTAACAAGTGGGGAAATGTACGGAGTTAGGGAATACGGAAATTGCGAAATGTAGGTTCACCCTACTTATCAAATAATCAACCATCAATTATAAACCTTGTTTATTATTAATTACGAATAAACATGCATTCATAGCTGCGATTATGGAAGCGAAAAATAAAATGATAACTTTATGTTACTGTAATTTATGCATTGTATTAAGTGACGATATTAACGTATGCAGTTTTTTGTTTCAGCAATGAAGCGGTGCTAGGGTGCGAACAACCCCTTGGAATCGTTGTGAGTTTTCTTATTATCGTGAGTATTTACGAAACAAGACATACAAAAATTGGTTAAATGATTATATATTTGTTTTTATATAGGGTGTTCCTTTAAAATGTGTATACCTTTCAAATAAAAATAAAAGTCATCATGTATTAATAGTCATTGATGCTGATGATCATTGATATGTTGGTATATTGAACATTTGTATCCTTAATATAAAATATAGTACTCTCTGTATATTTTAATTATCAAATTGTATTAAATTAAATTATGAACCTTCGTATATTAAATTAAATTTTGAACTTCTGTATATAAATTAAATTATAGAATTGTATATAAATTAAATTATTAACTTTTGCATATAAATTAAATTATGTACGTTTATATATAAATTAAATACATTTTATTGGAACACTCTGTATGAAAAAAGTCAACCACAAATATAAAACATCAAGAAATATTTCTTTTGATAAATACTTCTATTTCCACTCGCAAAGACACGTTGATACAAACCAAAATCATAATTTAGCATGACAGAATAATGATAGCTACAGGCTACTTCTATATCTGACGTGAAATACATGGGGTTTGGTACCGTGAGCCACTAAAACTGGGCCAAACGGTCATTCCAGACCTATACAGTCAACATATGAGACACTTAAGCCAGAAATCGATGAGGAACCGCCAACATTTTGCAATAAAACGATACAAAATGATTTCGCTGAAAGTTAATATCAAGCCTTCGCGATTCGACAAATATTACCTCTGCAATAGTTTTCCTTTCAAACCGTTTCACAATACCGGACAGCTTCGATAAATCATTGCCTCATGAATTTCAGAAAACCAAAATACTCCATCGTTTCATTTATCTTATGAAATGGTGATGTTTAGTGCAAACTGTGACGTGCGATGAATACTTCAATTAAATGAAACTTAATTTAATTTAACTGAAAATGAAATTGAGAGGAGTAGTTAAATAGTATTTTATTAAATTTAATATCTTACGAATATTGTACTGACGTATTGATGTAAATATTGTACTAATTAATGTATTAATTAATTGTACTAATTAATACATTTATATTATAATAATATACATTAATGCTTGTATGTGAGTAGAGTATTAATATACAGGGTGTCTCACAACTAATAGATCTCTGAAATGGAGGGTAGCTGACGTGATTCTGAATAAGATTTCCCTTTGCAAAAATGGGGTTTGAAGCTTCGTTCTTGAATTATTAAGGAAAAACACGGAACCAATCAGAGCGTGAGGATTATTACGCGTTGCACTACTACGCGTCGAATACCCACGCGTTGGATTACTACGCGTTGGATATCCACACGCTGTATTAGTACGCG